AATTAAAAAATTTAGTGGAATTGAAAATTCATCTCACATTTTGAGAGATGTACAACAGTTGCATAATGTCAAAATACACAAGGGTAACTAACAACCATTTCAACTGAAAATCGTTTACCTTCTACTAATCCGCCAAAAGGTAGAAAGCATACAGCCCGACACAAACCAACGAGACCGCGGTGGCGGTAGCGATTGCGGCCGCAGATGCGATTTGTGTTAATTAAATGACAGGCACGATCTGGCGTGCAGGATCGCAAAAATTTCGCGGAATTGACGACAGAACGCATTAAGTGTTCGAAACGTACGAGATACATACCACTCATATTTCGAAGTAATTGTACAGGTTATAATGTATGTAGCCCCACATCAGTTTTATAATTTTTTCGTCCCGTACACTTTCGCACGATGTATTATACTTCAGTAGATTATTGTAATGCCGTCGTATATTATTTTATTTCGAGATAAGTATACTTCTGTTGATAATTAATTAATAATTTTGAAACTTCTTTATCAACGGTAGGAACGAAATTTACTAAGGTATAAAACCGAAAAGTTTAAGACCACGCGTCATAGCGCCACGAATCACGCGCCATGTGTGACCGTGGGTATGTCCAAAAGGAATCATTTTAACAGGCTTCTGTAATAGTTTAAGACACTTTTTAAAAAAGGCTGCTATAATATACAATCTAAAAAAGTTTCACTTTACTGTACCTACAAGTAATACACGCTCACCCCTTTTTTTTCTTGGATTTTTATTGAGATGTTGTTGCTTGCAGTATTACAAAGTGAAAATGTCCAAAAACTTTTCCCTCTGTAAATCTACTTTTCCAGGCACTATGAACCCAAATTTCCCTTTCCTTTCAATTTTTACTTCTTCCACATTTTTTCTATTCGTCGAAAGCTAACGCTACTATAGCTAAATCTGCATTTCTGAAATTCGAAAACATATTCCAACTTTTGAGCATACCAAAGCGCTTATCACTTATTAAAAAGTTAAGAGTAAAGTACCGCGATAATCGTACATAGCTCGTTACAGTGTGACTTCGACGTCTACGGAACGAGAAACGTACGTATCTCGTATAACACTCGGTCACATACGGCCCGTGCTAGTCTGGTGAATGTGTGCCTAGACCATACATTAGGTTTAATGGACACATACTTGCGCGTCTTGTACGGCGGACACCTAAGCTGTCGTCACGATAAAATTGCGTTAGCGTTCAAACGCTGCAGGATAAACAGGTGTATAGTAGTTTGGTAAAATGAATATTTTATAGAGAAGTCGATAGAGTATATAAAAGAACAAACTATATTGTATGATTTATCAAACCCCGATTACAAAGGTAGATATTTGCATGAAAAACAAAATACGGAATAGATTTACACAAGGTATGAGCTTATTAGTACAATAAGTATAGACCCATTTATTTTTTATTTCAAAAATGAAAACTACAATTCAGTGAAAATATTCACGTATGTTAAATAGTACAGCAAGAAGAAATTACAGTAAAGAATAGGCTTCAAACAAGTTCTACTTTCCGTTCGTATTAGTCAAATATTAGAACCAATTGTTCTTCTACTCCCAATTGGTACGAAAACTTTTCTGGTACAAATATATAAAATGGTCTATCAAACTTTCGGGTATAGAATGGTTAATAGACACATGGAGTTCTCCAAGCTATTAAGAAGAAGAAGCCTAGGTACTTTAACTTAATGTAATAACTTATCGGTCTATAACTTCAGTTGGTTCTCTAAATTTATTATAGTTCGTGTTATAGTGATGTCATTCTTAATAATATTTAAAATTTCATCAAAACATTCAAAGTTCATATTAAAATATGTGTAGAAGCGATTTTTTACTTTAGGTAGGTAATGTTGCCTAGTCTCGGCTTGTGCCAGGTTGGGAAGATGAGCGTTCAGGAGTATTTTCGTTATCTTGCAACAAAACGCTTTTTCTCACTCGTCTAATATTGCGAAGGGGGGTTTTCTAGTTTTAGCTTGTCCTGCTAATATTCCTTTAGTGCACTCACTATTTTGGTCAATTTTAGTGGTTCATTGAAATTTAGGGGTCATTTTGGATTTTTCAAAGATTTTGGTGTAAATTTCCCTAAGTAGTTTCAGAAATATGATCACTTTCTTGGTTAATTTTGTCTAACGCTTTTTTATTTCTTTCTAAATTTCTATTTTTGACTTTCGTATAATAATGACAGTTCTTTAATTCTTTTATTTAGGTAGTTACCAGGATTGTTAAACTCTGGGAGTTATAAGTCCATTATATCATTATAGGGTCCATGAATTGTTTCGAAAGGTCTAAATTTAATGGTAGATTGAATCAAATTGTTATATATAAAAATAGATTGTATCATTAAATTTGGAATTGCCTCTTCAGGCTTAGTTTGTTTTAAAATTAAAGTGCAAGTCGATGTGATAAAGTTTGTAAAGGTCTTTATGATGGGGGTTGTAAAATTCACTTCCCATTTCAACTAAAATTTTTTCTGGGTGGTTATGATGGCTGATAAAGTAGTAATTCCGTTTTCGTCTGTTATGTGATAAGCTTGTGCGTATTTACTGAAACGGTCAAAAAATATTAAAAATGAATTGTTTTAGTAAATGCACAAGTACCTCATAATGATTTCAAAGGATTTTGAAGTTACCATGGGCCCTTTATAGGGTGGTTTGTAAGGGTTGCGTTCATATATTAATTCAAACATACGTCGTAATTTATTAATGTAAAACGTGATTAATTTCTTTAAACTCGGGTACAAAAATTTCATTCTGAAATGGGAGAAGTTTCTTCAATACGATTATAGTTAGTGTCATGATAATTTGAAATTAGTTGTAGGGCCTTTTCTCTATCAAATGTACGCCTTAAGCGAAAACTGCAAAGCTCATTTTTATCAAAGCAGTTTATTGTATGTGAAGAACTTTTTTTGGAATTACGTTCTTTCGTTTTTATAATTGTATATTAATTAACCTCCTAACGCGTTATTCGCAAAAACTCCTTTCTTATTAACCTTGATCTAGATTAAATTTTTATGTCGCAAAGTGATCTTTCTAGATTTTTAATTTTATATTTAAGTCGCCAAATTAAGCAATTAAGGAAAGAAAATATGAAAGATATAATTTATTGGATCAGAAGCCTTATTTATTTCTAAAATGAAATGTATGTATTAACTGAAATAAAGATTGAGCATTATTTTGCATATTCATTTTTTCATATATTAGGTACCTATGTATTTACACATATTTTAGTTTTCTAACGAAAAATTATTTTAGGCACCATTGGTGTTCGGAGATATCATTATCGCTTTCACCTCTTCTATGGTTTTATATCTGTTAATTGAAATGCCTTTCCGAAGAATTTTTAAGGAGTTGTTTATTCCACATATTTCTAAAACGAAGTCTACATTCGATGTTTCAACTAAAGAAAATATAAGGACCAGAGAAAAGATAATGGAAAATCGTACTGAGAGCAGGTTATAAACTATCATGTGAAAATAAATGTGACTATTAATATTCAGATACTGTTGTAATTTTTATTTGTATAAGAGTTCAATCAGTATGTATTTAATTATAGTAAGACCAACCAGACTTATGTAAAATAGATACACAAACATTTTGTTTTGTACATTAAATTTGTTCTGAGTGTATATTCCACGTATAAATAAATAATTTGTGCTGTTGTGACTGCTACATTATTGTGTAAAATAAACCCTATATTATTTTAAGAAAGAAGACAATCATTTCTTTATTATAAAAGAAGGTACAATATAGAAATACTTAAAAGTGACTGGATGTAATATATAAATTGAATAATTAACATGCAAGACAACTCTTAAATTAAATCGGCAACGTTCATAGGCATTTCGTCAATTTGTGTAGAATAGTACTGCTCAATGTCTCGCAAAATCCTTATATCATCTGCCTTTACAAAATTAATAGCAACACCTTTTCTTCCAAATCTGCCAGACCTTCCGATTCTGTGTATGTATAATTCACGATTATTTGGTAAATCGTAATTAATAACCAAGCTAACTTGCTGCACATCAATACCACGAGCCCAAACATCAGTTGTAATTAAAACTCTGCTTTGCCCAGATCTGAATTCCTTCATTATACTATCTCTTTCCTTCTGTGGCATATCACCATGCATAGAACTGACAGTAAAATTTGCTTCTCTCATTTTTTCAGTTAACCAATCTACTTTACGTTTAGTGTTACAAAATATTACTGCTTGTGTTATTGTTAATGTGTCGTATAAATCGCACAGAGTATCAAACTTCCATTCCTCTCTTTCCACGGCTACGAAAAATTGCTTAATTCCTTCCAAAGTTAACTCATCACTATAAATAAACTTTTGTTAATAGGTGCTACATTACTGTTAGTAACTTATACCGTTTGACAAGAATTCTAATAGGGTCTGTCATGAACTTTGATGTAATTTCCAATATTTCATGCGGCAACGTTGCAGATATTAAAACAACCTGAGTTGAAGGTGGCAAAAATCTATAAACATCATAAATCTGTTCTTTAAAACCCTTGTTTAACATTTCATCCGCCTCATCTAAAACTAGCATTTTCACCGATCTTGTACGAAGTGCACGACGTCGAATCATATCTACAAAACAAAAACATATGAATCACATAGAGGCCTAAAATTTAATTTCATACATATGAAAACAAATATAAATATTTACAATAAATGTTTATGCGGGTTATTTCCTTGCAAGTTTTTTTTTTAATCAGCTTTAATCCGCAACTTCATTAGTTTATTTATTATAAATGCAATTATAATGACCAATAACCAATTTAAAGATTTCAGTGATTCAATATTAAAATTAATTATATATTAGTTTCAACGATTGTGTCTTACACAATTATGTGACTATCGTCGTTGCTGTTGTCACCTTTCGTAGCTTAGTGGTCAGAGCACTGGTGCGAAGAGACAGAAACCCAAATTCAATTTCCGTTACTCGTTATATTAAATAAAATACCCTGTGTACTATGACGGTTTTGAATTATACTTATAATTTTAGATAGACTCATAAGGTTTCCTATTTCTAAAATTTACCGTTTTCGAGATATTAATTTAAAAAAGCGAAAAAGCATGCCAATTTTGCTGTAAGTAGCTTCCCCTAAGCTTCCCGTCCATACTTTCAAAGTGAATCAATTACAAACAAGGTGTTAAACATTTAATGGCAGATTTGATTAACTTGTAAAGGTTTCTTGCAGCCAATGGAAACTTAAAGAAAATTGACCGATATATCTGGAATATTCAATTGAATTCTTCAAAAACCCTCCTTATTCTCCAATCTTCATCAGTCATCTTTTATCCCACTCCTAACACCAAATGTCACATAATCAAACACCACGCACTATTACTATTTTTATTTAATTATTGGCTTCGTTCGAAAAAAAGATAAGTTTACGATGTTTGAAGTTAACCAAAACCGTCATTAAATATCTAACACTATGTATATAATTAATCTACTTTGAAAGTACGGACTAAAAACTTGACAGTATAGCTATCCTAACAATATTGTTGCTCCATCATTCTTACTATAAAATAGGCATCGTTAAATCGAAGTAGGTACCAAAATATTCTAATAGGTGGTCACCTGTAGGTGAAATAGGCTTCCTTTGGTTTTTTAGTCAGCTTACACTAAAAATTTAAAATTACAATTTAAAGAGTATAGCAGGGTAAGCATGCGTGTGATGCCCTTCGGGAAAGTTAGGTCAATATTTTTACGTTGATATCGCATCACTAAGTTATCTGCTTCTGCTCGTGTTAGCTTTTCAAATAAATTAATAGAATTTAGAAAAAAAAATTTCCTCTATAAAGTAACAAATTTTTATATATTTTTTGTATACGCTAGATACGCCAAAAACTGTTTAATAAGCAATATTAAATATTTTCATTGGTTAATATATCAAAATACTCGAAATTAAAAAAAATCAAAAATAAAGTCAACTAAATTAAGACACTTTCACGAACTTTTGTTTATAAATACCTTTTACTATATTCTATATTTTATTCTTTTCAAAAGTTTTGCAAGGGTAGAGCACTGTTAAAAAAATTGTTCATAAGGGTACGTACTATGTGTATTCTCAGTATGCGACAGATCGAAAAGTGTGTATTGCTTTAATATCGAATACATGTTAATACGAGTTTTTATTTTATGTAATTCTACCAAATCATGTTATTAGGAGATTAGTACTGTTATGAACAATTGCTGCAGGTATTGATACCAACGGATATCGGAAGTACAAAATGAATTACAATTTGTACTTTATTAATGATTATACTATATTTTTTATACTAATATTAATTATTATATTACATTATGTGTAAAATAAACCCTATATTATTTTAAGAAAGAAGACAATCATTTCTTTATTATAAAAGAAGGTACAATATAGAAATACTTAAAAGTGACTGGATGTAATATATAAATTGAATAATTAACATGCAAGACAACTCTTAAATTAAATCGGCAACGTTCATAGGCATTTCGTCAATTTGTGTAGAATAGTACTGCTCAATGTCNATTTTAGGTTGACTTTTATAGTACTTTCCGACTTCTAAAATTTACCGTTTTCGAGATATTAACTGTTTTTAGAAAAAGTAGCACAGAGCACTAGATAGCAATAAAGCATACCTACATTACAGTAAGAAAATTGAACAACATTACTCTCAGGAAAGATAGTTACACTCTCAAGCTTCCCTTCCATACTTTCACAGTGAGTTAATTACATACAGGGTGTTATATATTTTATGGCGAATTTAGTTAATTTCAAACAATCGTAAGTTCATTTTCTCAAAAGGAACATCCTGTATGTATTTTCATAGCCTTATACAGAATTCAAATTACTATTCTCTGTAAAAACAAATAAAATCGTTTATTTTTTTACGAAGATTGCTGTGAAATTCTTAACAGAACTTCAAAACAAATAATATATGTTAATTGTTGTAACTCAAACACCCATACTGACAGTTTAGCCATTAAATATTTTAATTCTCAATGTCAGTTATTCAATATTATTCTTATGAAGAATGGTAAATGAAAATACTTATTTAAATTAAGAAGAAATTTTAAGAAATCAACTGTAATACAGTAGACTACAATTAACAATAGTAAAAAAAGCAAATAAACAATAAATAAAATAAATAATTAAGGATTATCATTAAATGTTTAGATTGATTGTTCGATATGCCCCCCAATTATTATCAACTAATATCGTTAATTATTAAATTTAAATTATTTTTTAGTTACTTTACTATTACTATTACTTTATATTCACCGTATTGTAACTAATTTCTTAAAATTCTTCTTAATTTGAATACGTCTGTTCATTTTTCATTCTTGATAAAAATTAACGTTAAGGATCAAAATATTTAATGATTAAAGTGTCAGTATGGGTTTTGAATGACAACAATTAACTTATATCATTTGCTTAGAAGTTCTGTTAAGAATTTCACATAAATCTTCGTAAAAAAATAAACGATTTTGATCCTCTAATAAAAGCCATTTTTATTTTCTTTTAGGTTGGTTCCCAGCTACGCCTTCATTATATTTTTCTATGCATCGATTTTTGAAAACACTGGAAGTGGCCCGTTATGGAAATTAATTATAGAACCTGAAGCGACTGATTGTAAAAGAAACTGGTGGCTTAGTTTGCTTTTCGTTAGCAACTATATCAATGATGAAAATATGGTAAACATTAAATCTTAAATTTGAGCAATAAGTTAAACTTCCCCTACCACATACAATAAAAGTAGAACTTATTACTTAATTCAACTTGAATCAATTCTTTGAACAGTTTGCATCTAATGTAAAAAGCTATGTTTTATCGGATGTCATTTAAAAGAAAATGGATTTGACACAATTGATATAAAAAGTATATTTTTTTGAAACGGGAACGGTGTCCATTTCTTTTCTATATTTTGGAGTATAAGGTAGAATCAAAGCCAGGGTATCGGCAAAAAAGAGTTTGTTTCTTAAACCAAGGCAGGTTTGAAGCCAAGTTTCTATTTGCAAAAGGTGTTGGACATGAAAATGATATGAATTGCAGTTAGTACGATGTAAAACAATAAGTTCGTACAACATACAGGTGTCTACAGACAGACCACTATAAAATGAACCATTGAGTCAGTTGTTTCATCCAATCACGTGTGCTAGTAGGAGAGGTACAGCCGAGTTTTTCACACGTGATCTGTAGTCGTTCCAATTTTATTTTTAATATATGTAAAAAGGATGTAAAATAAACCCTTCTCGACAATGGCGGATAACCACACCGCTGTAAGGGCTGCGGGCGAAAATCAAAATCTGTTAATGATATGTACTCTTTTCGTCTTTCCTACCTTCTGATGTAGATTATTTAAAAAGTATAATTCCAAGCGGGCAGATAACTAGGTCTCACTAAAGGGGTGAAAAACAGACTTAAATATATCGCTTATGTGTTGCGTACCACGATTTTCTGTGTTATCCAGATTTTATTTACTATACAATGTTCAAAAATATAAAAAGGTATCGTTTAAATGGCAGCTGTGTGAAATATGGTTCCAATTGAAAAAAATTGCAGGAAAAATTTATTCACAGTGTTAAAATATGGGGCAGTACAAACAATCGTGCAATAAACGAATATTTTTTGATTCCGTTCAAGGGGTTTGACTCGAAAAAAAAAAAACATTTGAATATCGACGCGACTTTTTGCATAGCCCCATATTTTGGCATTCTTAAANTAAAAAAAAAATTAAAATTAGATTAATTTATTTTAAAAACATACGCAAGCAGAAGCGTGATAACCTAGGGAATAGTTTCTCCAAGTGAATGGTCTGATGATGGTTAAATAAACCGAAACGTCACATAAAATAAAGGAGTATTCATTTTCATTTTTATCTGCTACCCTGAATATATACATCAAATTTGGATATTAGTTAGGAAATTGAAGATAAAGTTACAATTTTAGAAATATGCACCATAGGTATGTTAATATGTTGCATCATTTTCAGTATAAATTACTTTGGTACTAACCATAAACACGTCCAGGAGTACCACTTACAACATGCTGCCCAAAGTCTAGTTTTCTAATATCTTCTCCCAAATTAGTACCCCCAATACATGCATGACACTGTACATTCATAAAGTCTCCGAGAGCAAGAATGACTTTTTGGATTTGAACAGCTAATTCTCTTGTTGGTGATAGACATAAAATTTGTGTTTCTCGCATTGTTAGATCCAAAGACTGCAAAATTGAAATGGCAAATGTTGCAGTTTTCCCAGTTCCAGACTGTGCTTGAGCAATAACATCTCTTCCTTTGATAATCGGCTTTATAGCTCTTTGTTGTATAGCACTTGGCTTTTCAAACCCTATAATTAGATAACATAGTTAATTTTTCATTGAATATGATTTTATCGACCAACCATATGCAAATATCCCCCGAATTAATTCTTCTTTTAAGCCCATGTTCTTAAATTTATCTATAACTTCTACACCCTCGCTTGTTTCAAATTCAACGTTTGAAAGATCTTCAAACACATCTCTGGTATCTCGCTTACTACCCATGTTATTAGATTCTGTAAATATGAAATTTAACTAGAAATAACTATACCACTATTAAAATTAATTTGTTTGGATGAATGTATAAACAGTAAATTATTTAAATACTTTTTTGTAACAATTATACACCTAGGTATGTTTACTACTAATCTATATCTATTATTATAGATAAAATACCTTGCTTCCTGGTGGATTTTTAGAAGGGATTATGTATGAAACCTTAATAACCTATATATACTTTACCAGTTACCAGTTAGTTTTCAAAAGGTAACTAATTCACGTTACATTACTTTGGGAAGTTAATTTCGTTAACACATTAACCGGCAGTTACTATATTGATATGATTGCTTACTAATAATAACCACTAAAGATATTTTATCAAATCTTTGATATAAATATAACAAACTCCTTGATAAACTGGCCATCAATCTCTTATCTATGAACAATCCAAGTACAATTTGTACAATATGAACCATAGATATACGAACCTATAACTTATGATAAGAACCATAGATACGCTAAAAATATGCGATGTGGATAAAACCAAAAGACCAGACATGTGAAACTGGTACTCGATCCTCTGATTTAAATTTTACGAAAAAATTGAATGTCGTTTGCGAGTTTTAAATATATAAGTAGCGTAATGTGCGCCCATTAGTTTTTGTTAAAAATAAAAGGAAAATTGGAGTGCAGGTTGAATTATTGTGGATTTATTCAAAAACTGATGATATTTTAATCGCCAATGGATTGCGCATCATTTGTGCTTAAAGACTGAGCTATTATGCTAAGCGGAGTTTTTTTTTTATATTATTCATTAGTAATAATTACAAATAATACTCAATTTTGCAATGGCATTATTATTTATAGTTAACTAATAGTGCAAACGTACTACTAATAACAATGAAAAAGTAAATATTTTGTGAAATTATTAATAAATAATATAAGATAAATTCCGCTTACCATAATAGCTCAGTTTTCAAGCACAAATGACGCTCATTTGATTGGCATCCATGAAATTAGAATATTTTTAATAGTTTTTGTATAAATTGACATTGAATTTCCACCTGCGTCTGAAATTTTTTCTTTCTGTTTAACACAACTAATGGACGTACAATTATGGTATTTACATATTTAGAACCCGCAAACAACGTACTATATACTGATAAAGCTTGAATCAGCAAATCATCTATATCGGGTGCCAGTTTAATTGTTTAAAAGGGATTCATGAGCCGGAGCTTATTCCTCCTTGGTTATGTTAGTCACTTTTGTTCTATGGTTGTCAACCTTTGTTAATTTTCTTTATGTTTTCGTAAAAGTAATTTTTAGCTGTAAAGGGATGGTAATCCTGAGTAGTTGTTGTTATGTATGTAGTTGTTACCAAAATGGCAGCAAGCGATGACGAACCGATGCAACACTTATACGAAGTTTTTACTACATGTTTTAATAAAATCGCCAACAAAGCTCCTGGTAAACACTTTATTTTAGTATTTAAGGAAATTATTGTTTAAAAAAGTGTATATAACAACCCTAATATAATTCATTTAACTACCGAGAGTTACTTAGTTTAAAATATTTAGCATCTCCGCATTTTTAACACTAGTTCATAATAAAAGTAGAATGCCAAATCTAAAACTCTAACTCTACATGTGTTTCATATAAAAAACGTGTTAATTGGTACACATTTTTTTTAAATTGTTTCATTACCTTCTTTGAGATTTCTCTTTGATATTTGAAGAATTATTGTATTTCAGATAAAGTTAGTCTTCAACCTACATATGGAGGACTTGATAATGGTTTGGTAAGTATGTGCTTTAGCAATAAAATAATAAGATTATGAAATTATAAATTATATGCTGTAAATTGTGGAATTTCTATTTTTCTAACATATACCTTTAATGTTTATTAAGTTTCAGTAAATGGTAAATTAATGTTAAATGAATTGCTTAGAAGTATTTTAATGTGATTACTTAATAAAGAATTTGTTAGAAACATGATGTACTCAAGTTGATATTTTAGTATTTGTTTATTTAAGTCCGCTGATCAGAATTTTTTTCGATATAGCAACCTACCTACATTGTGCAAATAATTTATTTTATATTGCATGTTTTGTAATTATTGTTAATGTTTAGATTTATTTAGTTTTGTGTGGATAATATGCTATTGAACATTTAGATAAAAGCTTATACTTCAACATTTAATTCCAATCGTTGTTTATTTTAAAATGAAACTAGGCTGCTTTTGATTTTATCAGTACTATTCAATTAGAATCTTGATATTATGCTTTTTTTTAATTAGGCATATGCTCTAAGTCCTACTGGTCCTACATATACTACTGGACCTGGTGCAAGTCCTACTCAAGCTACAGGAGAGCCATTTACAGCAGATAGCCCATATTTTCCATTTAGTTCTCGTCCTGGGAGCCGTCTTTCTCCAGCTAAAACGAGAGTTGTCACACCAGTACTCAGACTAACCAAAGATGAACCACAACAAACTAGTTCAGTTGCAGATAGTCAGCAATGGATTGTAAGTTCAATTTTCTTTTTAGATTTTCAAATAAAAGAAATGAAAGTATTTCAATTCAATAATAAAACAAGCTATATATAATTAAGTTTCACAATGTATTTAAAAAGTTTGTTGACCTTTCTTTTGGTTATAATATTCATTTTAAAAGCTCATTAAATATCCAAGTCTTATTTTAATGTTTCCCTTCTTTAGATTTACATATATTTCATGTATATTTCTGGTTTAGATATACTTTATAACAGTGTAAATATATGCAAATAAAAAGAAGGAAAATATTAAAATAAGACTTGGATATGTATAGTTATAATGAAAACAAAAATGTTAGATGTACACAAATTAACACAACCATCCATAACAGCAAATTTCTAATCAAGGGAACAATTGGGACTCCTCTGTTTCTTTTATTTAAAGCTGTTAAATAATTTGTAGTAATAATTAAGTGTATAAATTTCTGGCCTCAATTTAGTTTATTATGAATTTTATGAAATAAAGTAGAAAATTAGACAATTTCTTTGTGAAACTACTACCATGCATTATTACATTATAATTTAGTTGTTCCAATAAAATAATAAAAATGTCTGGAAAAATAATTATAAGAAAAGATCTTGGATATGAAGCATGTTTTCACTATGATAACAAAAGATATTTTCAGAGTACAACTGACTTATATAGTGTATATCTTAAATACACTTGTGGTAAGTTGAAATTAAAATGAAATTCTTTACAAGTGTTTTCAGTGTCCTGATCAAATACTATAGGATATTTATTTATTTATTAAGACCAGTGAAATTAGATGATAGTAATCTTATAGAGGAACACAAAGAAATTAGTACATAGACTGGTATAAAGTAATTATTATTACTTGTGTAAAACTTCAAACTAACATAATCACTTAATTTGGAGATATAAACAAAGCCATCACGTAATAAATTATATTTAGATTATTAAACCAAGTTTGATAATAAAATTTTCTAATTTGTTTGCAATAATATGCATACTTCTAGTCAGTGCTATATGATGGAATATAT